GAGCTCAGTGAAATGCCCCTGGCTTTGATCTTCAGCACCACACACACAAAAAAGGTGTGTGGGGGGTTAAGTACCAGAGTGGGGGACAGGCCAAGTTGACCAGTTCCTGGCTTCCCCCAGAAGGGTGCCAGGTCTCGGTTTGGTGTCCCTTAGTCTCCATGTCCCCCACACCCAGCTCAGCGAGTACAGGAGGCACCAAATGTTTGCTGAGTAGTCACCTGGCCTCCCTACCCCAGGAACACCCACCTCAGGGTTGCAGGTTTTGCCGGTAAATGAGCAGGAGGGATCATCCAAAATCTTATAGACAGCTTCATTGGAAGTAGACAGGAAGCTAGTAGCTTGTTAAGGAATCTGGGGTCTGGAATTGGGAACCCCAGGGACTTTCCACTACACTACCAGGTCCCCTCCCTCCCGGCTCACAAACGGGGCTGGGTAGATACACAGCAGTGCTGGCCCAGTATGCGATGCAGAGACACAGCAGGAAGAAAGTGACCAGCGGGTACAGCATGGAGCACATGACGTATCCCACAGCCCTGGGGAGCAGCAATGACAGGCATCAGGACCGGAACAGCCCTAGGGACAGGACAGCCCCAGTGGTCTGGTGGTGCCCCACCCCTACCTGCTTGCTTCTTTGATGAGTGCAATGGCGATGAGAATTCTCTTCCGGAGAAATATGAGCAGCAGGATGATAATGACTTCCAGGATGCTCAGAATGATCACTGCAAGGGACCAAGACTGAGCTGCTTAGCTGCCCAGCCCCTCTGAGGACTGCGAGGAGGCAGGACTAGGGGCTGCAACTCACTGAAAGCCATCCAGGTCTGGCGTAAGTGGAGGTACACCCGGAAGTCAGTCTGGAAGCCCAGGTCCACCAGCGAGATGTCTGAGCCGGCCTCCCCACGCAGCCGGGCATACTCCATGTAGCAGTGAAATATCCCTGCACATAGCCACAGCCTCAGTCCATTGATCTGCCCCATCCTTGCCCACAGTTTTTGGGAGGATTGAACCCAGGACCTTCACACTGAGCTCTTATTTTTTTAAAAACAAGGGTTCGGGCCAGGGATTTAGCTCAGTGGTTCTGCTGCCTGCCTTGCCAGCACAAGGACCAGAGTTCAATCCCCGGTACCAAAAATAAAAAAATAAAAATAAATAAATAAATAAATAATAAAAACAAAGTCTCACTAAATTCCCCTTGTGGGACTTGAGATCTGCCTGCCTCAGCTTCTCAGAGTGCTGGGATTACAAGCACAGGCCACCATGCCTGGTTCCTTAATGCTCATTTAACAGAAGCAAAGACCGAGGCTGGGGGAGCCTCCCTGTGTGTGCTCTTGCCACAGGACCTTTGTACTTGCTGTTCATTCTCAAATTCTAGAAGTTTTTCAGGTTTGTTTCTCACATGAATCCCCCACACCCCTAGGAACGTAAGCTACCAGAGAACAAGCATTTATCCTGTTTTGTTCATTGCTATATGCCCAGCGCCTGGAAAGCTGCCCTGGACACAAGCACTCAATAAAAGTTTGATGAATAAATGAATGCACGTGGCTTGGGTGTGAACATGAAATGGGACAGCACAAAGGAGTTTCAGTACTCCCCTGAGCTCTTTGCAAAATAAAATTGTGAGCTAGACATGGTGGCACACACCTGTCACCCAGCATTCAGGAGGCCATGGTAGGAAGATCACTAGTTCAAGCCAAGCCTGGACAATTTAGCAACTTAGCAAGACCTTGTCTCAAAATAAAAATAAAAAGGGCTAGAGATAGAACTCAGTGTGAAGGACCCAGATTTAGTCTCCAGTACTTCTAAAATAAATAAATAAATATAAAATACCAGCACCTAACTAAAAACCATTATTTTGTGGGGTTGGTTTTTTTTGGTACTGGGGATTGAACTCGGGACCTTGTGCTTACAAGGCAGGCGACAGCACCACTGAGATAAATCCTGGCCCCTAAAAACCATTATTATTATTAAGGGACACATTTTTGTTTTCCTCTTTTGGTACTAGGGACTGAATCCCGGGAGTTGTGAGCTATATCCCCAGCCCCTTTTATTTTGAGATAGGGTCTCACTAAGTTGCCCAAGCTGGTCTTAAACTTGCAATCCACCTGCCTCAGGCTCCTGGAGTGCAGGAATTGATGATAAAAATGTGCCACTGTACCTGGCCAATATGAACATTTTGATACCTTTGTCCTTAGACTGGGTGGCCAAGAATTTGTCCCCCTGGAAGTTTCAGTGAAAAATCAGGATATGAAAAGCACTGGTTTACAAGCAAGGCTCAGGTTCCCACTGTGTAGTGTGAGGTACACAGCTCTTCCCCGGATTTTCTCCCCACGCCATCTCCTTCCCATTAAGCCTCCCAAGTGGTGAATACTAATTATCCCCATAAAATGCACGATGAAATCAGGGCACAGTGAGGCTTACTCACTTGCGTACAGACACTTGGCTAGTAAATGGTAGAGTACGGATGTGGTCCCTGGGATTCAGGTGCCAGAGTATGCATTCCAACCCACTCGCTAAAGAACCTCCCTGACTACTCAGGAGGCTAAGGCAGGAGGATCGAGTTCAAAGCCAGCCTAGGAAACAGTGAGACCCTATCTCAAAAAGAGCCTGTGTGGGATTGCCTTTTGGTGTTGATAAAATACTGATGTAGGGCCTGTTGTGGAAGGATACCAAGTGCTACATTTATGTCAGGTGAGGTGGTGCACACTTATAATCCCAGCATCTGGGAGGCTGAGGCAGGAGGACTGCCACAAGTTTGAGGCCAGCCTGGGCTACATGGTGAGTTCAAGGCCAGCCTGAACTACATAGCAAGACCCTATCTCCAAAGAAAAGGTGGAAGGGAGAGCATTTTGTAGAGCTGAGGCAGGGGCGGGAGGGGCCCAGGAGGGGGAGCCGCACCGTAGCCCAGCACCAGGATCACCATGACGATCATAACCCAGACCATGATGCCGGCCAGGAAGCGGAGCAGGATGATGAACAGGAGGCTAAGCGCCATGGCGATGACCAGGCCTCTGTGGATCAACAGAGCATAAGCGGATCCTCTCCTTAGACAGCTGGGGAGGGAGTCCAGGGCCTCCCGCCTTCCCTACCTACATGACAATCCAGTACCAGGACACGGTGTAGTCTTCAAATATCCGCATGGCCAGCTGCCGGGCCTCCAGGATACCGTTCGCCTGCCTGGGATAGGAGGAGGTGGCCTAGGTCACAGCCTCTCCCTGGGCCCTAGGCCCTGCCCTGTCCCACCTGGCCGAGGCCCCCTCAGGCCTCACTTGGCGCCCTCCACCAGCTCCGTGATGTTCTTCCGAGAGCCATGCCCGTCCTCATAGGTTGTTGCATTGCCCACCATGATGACCCCCTTGTGGGCGTGGATGGCCGGGAAGCATCGCTGGGCCACTGTGGAAGCAGGGAGCCCGAGGGTCAGCCTGAGCCCCAGCAGCCCCCCTCTGCCCGCCCCAACTGAGTTCAGGCAACCCCGACTCACAGGGTTTGCTGGGGATGAGGACAGCAGGGCATTGGCCATCCCGAAGCACCTCAGCCACACTCTGCTAAAAGAGAAAGAGAAGCTGGGCATGGTGGTGCACACCTGTGATCCCAGCACTCTGGAGGCTGAGGCAGGAGAATGCATCAAGTTCGAGGCCAGACTGGACTATATAGCAAGACTCAGTCTCAAAAAGCCAAACCAAAAACAATAAAAGAGAGGGGGAGAGGAGAGAAGGAGAGAGAGAGAGAGAGAGAAGAGGAGTTAATTCCCCCCAGGCAGCACCCTGCCTCAGGCTACTCTGCTTGCTCACCTTTTTATCACTCTGGAAGTCAGGGACACAGAACTGCTTGTAGTATGCAAACTCTGGAGTGTTCCTGGCATTCAGGAGGGTGAGGTAGCGGTCAGGACACTTCTCCACGCAGATCTAGGAGGGCAGAGGATGGGGATGAGGGGTGGTGGGGCGCAGACTCGGTTTCACCCTACGTTCCAGGGGAGGGGAGGGGAGGGACAAGAGGTACCTGGGGTGTGGGGCATTGGAATTCCAGCAGGACCAGGGGGCTGGCACACTTCACAATGTTGAAATAGAACAGGAAGGGTTTGTTCCTGGGGTTGGAGAAGGGAGAACGGAAACTGTCGAGACAGCTCAGCCACCATATGTAAAAATTATCATGGAAACAACAACAACAACAAAAATGGCAGCCCCTGCTACATCACTCCAGACTCTGTTCTAGGATTTGTACAAGGACCAAAGCCTCATGCACTCATACATGGGGCTTTTCAGAGGTGGCTGGATCTAGAGTGTGCGACATTGGAACTGATGCATGGTGTGACTGTAGGACCAAGGGCACTAGGATTAAAGGTGTGAGTGCTACCTGCCCGGAGTAGCCTGGATAAAATATAAAGGATAGAAAGAGTTGTGGTCGTCCCTTGTTTTTTTTGTTTTTGTTTTGGTACCGGGGATTGAACTCAGGGCTTTGTGCTTGCGAGGCAGGTGCAGTGCCACTGAGCTAAATCCCCGGCCCTGTCCCTTGTTGCTTTGCTACCTTCTGCCAGCCATGGACTGTTTCTCCTCTGTGATGCCACCCTGCCGGGGAGCCAGCCGATTATGGACTGAAACCTCTGCAAACTATGAGCTAAATAAATCTTTCCTCCTTTAACTTTGGGTGTCCGGTATTTTGTCTCAGTAATAAAAGAAAAGTAACTAAGTCACTAGACCATCTAACAACTCCCTGAAAAGGGGAGACTATTTTTTAGTCAGGAACTTGCTGTCACTAAGTTGCCCGACCTGAGTTTGCACTTGCAATTCTCTGGCCTCAGCCTCCCAGACTGCTGAGATTATAGGCCTGCACCATTGTGCCCTGCTTTTTTTTTCATTTTTTGTTTGTTTTTCTGAGACAGGGTCTCGCTACATAGTTCATGCTGGCCCAGAACTCATGGTGATCCTCTTGCATCTGCCTCCTGAGTGCTGGGATTACAGGCCTATGAGACCACACCCAGCTTCTTTTTTGTTTTTTGAGATAGGGTTTCACTGTGAAGTCCAGCCTTGCCTGAAACTCACAATGTAGCCCAGGCTGGCCTCAAACTTGCACTCCTCTTACCTCAGCTTCCCGAGTGCTAGGGCTACAGGTGTGTACCACCACACTGAGCTAGGAGTGGGTCTTATGATATAGGTTTTTCTTGGTGTGTTTTTTTTTTTGGTACCGGGAATCGAACTCAGGGCCTTGCATTTTCAAGGCAGGCAGCGGCACCACTGAGCTAAATCCCCGGTCCCTCAGTGATACAGATTTTAAGGAGCATGAAAATTAGAATGTGGCTTAGAGGTAGATGGGCCAAGCTTGAAGCCTTGAATTCAATCTCCAGCACTGCCAAAAAAATAAAAAATAAAAATAAAATAAAATAAAATAAAAGACAGCTGAGGCATGATCTCTCCCGGGCAATTTAGCAAGAACTTAACACAAAATAAAAAAATAAAAAAGGCTGGGGCTGTGGCTCAGTGTGAAGGCCCAGGGCTCAATGCCCAATACTGCACCAAACAGTGTAAGAACCAGGCATGGTGGCACACACCTGTGAGCCCAGGACTCAGGAGGCTGAGGCAGGAGGATCACTGTGAGTTCCAGGCCAGCCTGGGCAAAAAGTTAGTTCAAGGCCAGCCTGAACTACACAGTGAGACCCTGTCTCAGAAAAAAAAGTCACCTGGAGAAGATGATCTAGAGCAGGGGATGTGTCTTTATGTTCTGCATAAATAAACGCACCCTTTCTATAAGGGACTTGGGAGCCCATGGATGAAGGTGTCTTCGGGGTCTCGGAACTCTGGGGCAGCTGGAGGCCAGCAGAGCAGGCTCCTGCTCCCCTCCCAGCCCAGCCCAGCCAGCCAGCCCCAGGAGCTCGGACTCACGCATTCTTGGTGCCTTTCTGGCCACAGAACTCGCCTCGGCTGTCAGTGGGGTAGATCACTTTTCGAGGGTCCCCGTGGGTCCAGGCTGTGGAGGGACCAGGGGCACTGACGCAGGGCCACTCAGCAGCTGCAGCCCCACCCTCACCCCTAGCTGCAGTGTCCCCGCCCACCTCAGGCCTGGCCCTGTCCCCCTACTCACCGATAAGGCCCACAGCCACATAGCCCACGATGGCCAGGAAGAAGAGGACACAGCAAATGACGTCTGTGCAGCCCCTGGGGAGGAAATGGGGCGACGTCAGAGACCTGCAGTCTGCCCAGCCAGGGCTCACAGCCAGGCGTTCGGTGCACCCATTTTCCCGAACAGTGGTTTGTTTGTTTTTAATTTTGAGACAGGTTCTGGCTAAGTCACTAAGTTGCCCAGGCTGGGACTGAATTTGCAACTCTCCTGTTTGAGCCTCCCAGAGTACTGGGATTACAAAAGTGTCCCGTGCTCTGCTGCAAAGGAGCCCACATTCCCTCCCCAAAGCCCACATAAAATGCCCTGACAGCTATGTGCAGGGACCCGCGCCTGTGTCCCTTGATACTCGGAGGAGCACGCTTGTGCACACAATACCCAGGTCCCAACAGGCAACAGCGGGACCTGTATGAAAAAAAGCCCACAGCACTCAGAAGGGTGAGGCAGGAAGATCACAAGTTCAAATCCTGCCTGTCTCAAAATAAAAATAAAAGGAGCAGAGGATGCACCTCAGTGGTAGAGTGCTTTCCTAGTTGAGCTCCTGGGTCTGATCCCAGCACTGCAAAAAAAATAAAAAATAAATAAATAAAGACCATGCCAATTAGTTCAGAGCAAAATGTGTCAATTCCTTATAATCTATACTATTCAGGGAATTCAATCTGCTTTTTTTTTTTTTAATTGCAGTACTGGGGATCAAACCCTGGGCCTTTGTGCTGAGCTATCCCCATCTTTTTTTAATTTTTTACTTTAAGGTAGGGTCTTGCTAAGTCATTAAATTACCCAGGCTGTGCTCCCACTTGCAATGCTCCTGCCTCAGCCTCCCGGAGTGCTGGGATGGCAGGCTTGGCTATTGTTTTTGATGACATTCTGTGACTCATTTTAAACTGAATGGAGCCTCTTTCCTTAATCTGTGTTTACAAACCTCCTGTGCCATATATGATCTGATTTAGCCTTTGTTTTTTTCTTTTCTTTTTGTTTTGGTACCAGGGATCGAACTCTGGACCTTGGGCTTGAGAGGCAGGCGCCAGAACCACTGAGCTAAAATCCCTGGCCTTAGACTTTGTTTTTTTCAAGATCTCTTTGTGGGGCTGGGGTGCAGCTGCTCACCAGAGCACTTCCCTAGCATGCAAGAGGCCCTGGGTTCCACCCCACCACCGAACACCCACCGATTTGGAAGGAGGCTTTCTATATTAAAGAAATGAGTCCTTCTAACCAGTCTCAAATATTCATCATCAGTTTGTGGCAACGGAGAAGACCAGGAGGAGGCAGAAACGGGGGCTGGGTCTTCCCGGCAGAGATGCAGCCCCTCCCCCAGGAATCCCGGACCTTACCTGTTGTAAATAGGTCCCTTGAAGGTGGGGTCATACTTCTGCGGGGTTCCTGAAAGTGAACAGGTTCAAACTAGATGGGTCAAAGTGCTGGACCCAGAAGGGGCCCGGAGATCAGTTCTCCCCATGCCCTTGGAGGGGTCAGCCCTGGCAGTGGCAGGAGACCTACCTAGTGCCAGGAGCCTGCTTCCCTAATCCGGCCCACCACACCCAAGTCTGTCCACACAGGGGGGAGGCCTTGTCGGTGACTGGGAAGGGTGGCCAGGGAATAAGGGTGAGGAGTGCCGGCGGCAAGGTTGGAGGTGGAATGGGGAAGGAGGCACTTGAAGGAGTACAGGGAGAGGATTTAGGAGACACTGACAGGCAGCTCCAGGGAAGAACTGGGATTAAGCTGGGCATAGTGGTCCCTCGCCTGTAATCTCAGCCTCAACTGAGGCAGGAGAATCGGCGTGAGTTCAATGCCAGCCTGGGGTACATAGTGAGTTCAAACCGGCTTGAACTACAAAGTGAGACCCTGCCCAGAAAACCCAAATTAATAATACTAATGACGCTGGGGATTTAGCTCAGTGGTTCTGCCGCCTGCTGCGCAAGCACAAGGACCCGTGTTCAATCCCTGGTACCAAAACAACAACAACAATAATACTAATGATAATAATAATACTCGACAAAAAAACTAGAGTGAGGGATGCTGGCTGAGTCTGGGGGATCAAAGGGAGGCCCTGCTATTCCGATCTCCCCTCCTCAAGTTCCCCCCACTCTGTCCCCTGAAGTGGCCAGCCCGGGGTGCAGAAGGGGCTCAGCCTACCGTGCTTGCCATAGTAATGTGGCCGATCGCCCCCCATCCCTGCGGACGCCCCGTCGGCCGGCTCCGGACTCCGACTCCCGGGAGACTCGGTCCCAGCAGCGGCGCGGCCCGAACCGGTCAGACCGGCCTGTGGGGCGGAGCGCAGCTGCTCCCGCCACTCAGCGCCGCCGGATTTAGCCTGGCCCGCCCCCATCGGAGCCAGGCTGCACCGCAGGCCTGGCCGACCCTGCCGGGCGTGGAAACTAAGCCCCCAGAGGAACTTCAGAGAGCTGAGATCAGGCAAGTTGTATGAAGTGCTGGAGCTAAAAACTCCCGAACCACTAGGCGAGATGTTCTTTTGTTATTTTGTTTTGAGCTGGGGTCTCACTATGTTGGCTTAGTCCTTGGTTTAAGCAATCCTCCTGCCTCAGCCTCCAGAGTAGCAGTTCTTTGGTCTTCATGGTTTTCCTCCAAATTTTTTGGAGGGGGAGGGGATGTTGGGATGGAACCCAGGCCATGCACAGGCTAGGCAATCAAGCTACCACTGAGCTACATCTCAGCCCTGCATTAAAAAAAAAATTAGCAATGATAAAACATTTGCAGAGTTAAAATAATAATATTAACTATCTGCATCGCTTGGCTTTCTTGAAAACTGGAGAGTAGGGTGATAATGGTGGCCGCCTGTAATCCCAGTGTGGGAGGCTGAGGGAGGAGGATTCAGAGTTCTAGGCTGACCTAGGCAAGGTAGTGAAAACCTGTCTCAAGACACCCCCCCCCCAGGAAAAAGTATAAAACAAACCCAGCGTCAAAATTCAGGCATGGATGGGGTATGATGGTGCACACCTGTGATCCCAGCACTTGGGAGGCTGAGGCAGGAGGATCATGAGTTCAAGGCCAGCCTGGGCTATACATCAAGCCCTTGTCTCAAAACCGAACCAAGCTAAACCCCCAGGAGTGCCTCTCACTAACTCAGCTTGTCCTTAAAGAAAATGCTCGGGCCGAGGAGGCCCTGATTGGCCCCCGACCATGGGCTTCAGCGAACAGGTGAGGTGTGAGCACCGGCTGTGGCCTTAGGTGAGCAGGGCTCCCACAGACGCCAGCTCCCAGCCATGTGCCTCTTCTGTCCCCAACCACACGGATCCTAAGGGACACCTAGGTCAGGAGTCACCCCATGACAGCTCTGAACATCAGGTCCCTCATGCCCAGCCGCACCATTTTTTTGGTGTGTGGTGCTGAAGATTTTTATTTTTTTGTTTTGTTTTTGTTTTTTGGTACCGGGGATCGAACTCAGGTCCTTGTGCTTGAGGGACAGGGGGCAGAACCACTGAGCTAAATCCCCGGCCTGAAGATATTTATTTTGAGACAAGATCGTACTAAGCTCTGCCCGCCCGACTTGCAACCTTCCCGCCTCAGCCTCCCAAAGCACTGGAATTGAGGTGTGCCGGGGCCTTGCCGGCGGCTGAGATTCCTCTTTATCTCACCTCCACTCTGCCTCCAGCCCAGCCACCACCAGCCTTTCCTCACCGCCACCTCCTCAGGCTTCACCTTTACCTCAGGCCTGGGACAGATCTCCTGCGGGCCGCCCCTGCTTCCTGTCCCTTCCCCCCTTCCTGTGGGACAGTCAGAGGGGCCTGTGACCACCTGAGTCAGGTCACATCCCTCCTCTCCTCGGGACCCCCCACGGCTCCCACGTGCTTGGAAGAAAAGCCCGACTCCTCTCTGCCCCACACCCAGTGCTCTCATCTCTGCCCTCTCTCCCTTTCAGCCTCTGGGGTTCCTGGCTGCCCACAGACTCCCCAGCCCCGGCCCACCCCAGGGCTTTGGCACAGGCTGTTCTCTGTGCTCTTGGGCTGCCTCTCACCAAACTGTCAAATAGTGGGGCTCTGGAGTAGATTGTCTGCCTAGTGCATGTAAGGGCCTGGGTTCCTTGCCCAGCATGAAAGAAGGAAGAGAGGAAGGAAGGAGAGACAGAAGGAAAGAAGGAAGGATGCCCTTTTCTTCTCTCTCTCTTTTTTTTTTTTTTGAGACAGGGTTTTGTTACATGGTCCAGGTTGCCCGTGAACTCACTATGTACCCCAGCCTGGCCTTGAACTCAAGGGGATCCTCCTGCCTCAGCCTCCTGAGCGCTGGGATGACAAGTATGCACCCTCATGCCCACCAAAAGAAATAATGAAATACATGACTAATGACATCTTCTCAGTTGGCAGGGAAAGAATAAATCTCTCAATCACTAGCACTAATGTGCTCTTGGACGAAAATAGATGTAACCCTGGCACATAGCAAAACAAATTCCATATGGATTAATCATGCAAATATATAAAGAGTCAAAAAACTATTACAAGTATGAGGAAAGTAAGTCTCCTATCTGGGAGCAGGTGAGACTTAAACGGAGTGGGAGGGGAGATGAGGGATAAGCAAGACCGGGAAGCGGACGTGTTAGCTGGGATGTCTGCCTCCAATGGGCACTCACAGCTCCCAGGTAAAACCTTGCACACCCTCTTCCTCACACAGGAGATCTCCCAGCCCACTTGACAGCAGAGGAAACTAAGGGTTGGGGAGGGGAAGTAGCTTTCGAAGTCACCGAAAGTTTCATTCCCAATCAAGGTGTGTGGGGGGATAAGTGGGAGCCATAGAGGGTGTGGGGGGAGCAGGAGCATGACAGGGCTGAACTAGGGAGGAGGGAGCATGGGGAGACTCACAGGCTCTCAGGCGTTGGAGGTTGCTGGGGCTCCCGAGTTACCCCTGTGTGAAAGAGAACTAAACATGTAGAGAGCAAATGCCCAGCAGAAGGCTGGCTTCACATCTGGCCCCATGGGCTCTCAGGAAATGTAAGCGAGAACACTGTTATTGTGTTCAGTGGTGCCATTAGGTCTCATTAACCTTGGCTGGGTGGGGAAGGAGCTAGAGAGCTCCAGATACCAACACTAATGGTTTTTGATCACTGAGCCTAAGCCAGTCCCTGCAGGGAGAACAAGATGAAAGTTTGCAAGCTGCAGATAAGAACCCTATCAAGCCCCCATTTGGTTGCTTTCTTTTCTTTTCTTTTTTTTCTTTTTTCTTTTTCTTTTGTTTTTGAGGCAGGGTCTTGCCATGTAGCCCAGGCTGGCCTTGAACTCATAGCGATCCTTCTGCCCTGGGAATATGGTTTTCCCCTCCAAAATGCATGGAGTTCAATCTCCATTGTGAGGTATGGAGAGGAGGAAACTTATTAACGGACTCTGGTGTTTGTTTAGAGGTGGGATTTTGGGTCAGGGATGTTGATGTACGCCCATGAGCCCAGCACTCAAGGAAGCTGAGGAAGGAAGATCACCAGAGTTTGAGGCCAGCCTGGGCTACAAAAGTGAGTTCAAGGCCAGCCTAGACTACATAGCCAGACCCTGTCTCAAAAAACAAGCCAAGAGCTGGGGATTTAGCTCAGTGGTTCCACCACCTGCCTCACAAGCACAAGGTCCAGAATTTCATCCCTAGTACCAAAAGAACCCAAAAAACAAACAAAAGCCTGCAAAGTGGCCAAGACCCTGGGAGAGGCAGTAGTGGGAAAAGGGGAGGAAAGGTTAGGCTGTGAGAATAGCCGGTTTGGGGAGGTGGTTTGGGGAGGTGCCGGGCTCTTGGTCCTGCAGGGCCCAGCAGCTGGCCCACCCAGACAGTGGGCGTGGGAGATAAGGCACCTACTCAGGCTGCCCAGGCACGAAGCTTCTGCCAGGACCTCAAATGCCACCCAGCCCCCACAGCTCCTGGACGGCGGCCACATCCCCAAGGGCTGCAGGGGGAGGCCCCGCCCTCGCAGCCAGCCTGCCCTGGCCTTCCCAGAAGTCTTTGAGAAAAGTGCATCCCGCTACCCAGACAGCCCCTACTGCAGAAGCTTCAGATGGCAGCCAGTGCGGAGGCTTGGAAGTACGGACCAGGCAGCAAATGAGATGTTTTTCTCTAGGAACTATTTTATCTTTTTTGTTTTGATTTTTGAGACAGGGTCTCCCTATGTAGTTAAGGCTGGCCTTGAACTCCCTATGTACCCCAGACTGGGTTCACACTCATGGTGATCCTCCTGCTTCAGCCTCTCGAGCGCTAGGATTACAGATGTGCGCCACCCTGCCTGGCTGTCTATACCTTTTAGTTTATTTGTTTGTTTTTTGGTACCAGGGATCGAACTTGGGTCCTTGCACTTTCGAGGCAGGTGATGGAACCAGGCGGAACCACTGAGCTAAATCCCCGGCCTGGACTGTCTGTATCTTTTTAAAGCTCCTTGGACTGGTTTAATGGGGAAAGTGGTACTGGTCCCACAGTGGAATACTACGTAGCCTTGTAAAAAGGTGAAGTAGGTCCAGCCTAGCTGATAGGAAACAATGTTAAATTATGTGCTCCTGTTTAGTAACAAAGGAGAGAACAGGGAGAACAGAGGACTAAGATGAAAGGAGACTGCAAAATAGCTCAGCTTGAGCACAAGGTGGGCCCTGGCTTCCATTGCCACCACCAAGGAAAAGATGAGGTTAGGGGAGAAAGATTTTTTTTCTTGTTCTATGTTACTGGATAATGAATGCAGGGCTTTTGCACTGAACTACTCCTCCTTTTTAAAACATTTTGAGATGGGGTCTCACTAAATTGCCCAGGCTGGACTCAAGCTTGCAATCCTCCTGCCTCAGCCTCCCAGAGTGTTGGGATTACAGGTATGTGCCACCAGCAGATTTAAAAATCTGCTGTGGTCGGGTGTGGTGGCACATGCCTGTGATCCTAGCACTTGGGAGGCTGAAGTAGGAGGATCGCTTTGAATTTGAGGCCAGCCTGGCTACAAAGTGAGACCCTATCTCAAAAACAACAGGGCCAGGGATTTAGCTCAGTGGTTCCACTGCCTCGCAAGTGCAATGACCCGAGTTCGATCCCCAGTACAAAAAAAAAAGAAACCCAAAAAACAACAACAACAAATCTGCTGGGTCTGTACCATAGACAGTGGAAGGAGAGAAAAAGGAAATTGGTTTGAACAGGAAGGGACAGCTCAGGAAAGAGGTAAAAGGAGTGATTTTTTTTTCCAATCTGATGCTTTTCTCTTGATAAGTTTATACATTGCTTAACATATAAACCAGTTTGCTGACAACCTCCTTCAACAAACACTCCTTGAGCAAAGACTGTGTGCCAGGT